TACATCGAAGAGAAGAGTGCCAAAGGATCCCTACATAGGGTCTTTTACATTGGCAATTTGGACCTTGTGTATGAAGTGTATCTGCATGACTAGGGTGGACTTGGCATTAGTCCAAGCGAAATAACTATGGAGTGTCAGTTATGGCTATTGGAGAACATACAAGTGCACGTGCACATGCAACAAGCCAAGGTACTACCATTATCCATGCTCCCATGTGCTTGCTGCTGTTGGGAAAACCAAAGTTCCCATGACATTTGTGTCGCCTTATTACAAGAAGGAGGTCGTACTGAACACAAGGTGTGGTGAGCTTCGAGGTTGAAGGGCCATTTCTGATTTCACTAAGGCAGTTCATGACTCCGACCATCATTGGTGTCTGGATCCGGACAAAAGGGTGGAGGCAAGAGGTCGTTGCAAGAGTCATCGTATTAGGAATGATATGGATGTTTTGGAGGCTTTAGACAAGCGTCCTTTCTGCCTCGCGTGTGGTGGAAATCATCTGAGGAAAAATTGTGATGCGTACCCAACACATAGGCTTCCTGATGGAACGGAAGAGCGGCGTATTCCAAAACATAACTCTAGGGTTTGAACTACGGCTTGTAATATTTTAAATTAGGACTATCATTTGGTTTACATGGACCATTCGGAAGATTATGTATTATTTTACTTTGGCACCATTTTGCGTTTAAGATTTTAGTTTTGGACTATTGTGTAATATTTAGGTTTTGACTATTCTGCCTTTTGAATTACTTAATAATATGGCTTGTATTTTCAGAAAATCTTTATTTTCGTAGGATGGCAGGTATGGAACTCATCGACCCTGTTGTTGACCAGAGGCACCGCTCCAACTTAGGGCACGTTTGGTTGCTTGCATATGGCTGGGCCAGGCTGCTGAGATGCAAGACAGATGTGTTTGGATGCCTGTATCTGACCTTGGGCCAGGCCCGACTCATGCAACCAGCCCCCTATGGCCAGGCTCCTGGGAAACGAAATTGGAACTCGTTTTTTGGAGCTAGGCTCCCGTCGCACATGCGCGCTTGGTGGCAAGGCACTTCCATGCGGTCCCCACGCTGTAGTCTTCGACAACTAAACAACTTCTTCCACTATCATGTATCTGCACAGCCAAACAACTATCATGTATATCGCATGACCAAACAACCAAACACAGAGACTTGTATCACACCAGAGTCGACGGTAGCTCAGATGACGGATGATGCGATGTGCAGTCGTCAGAGAAGCCAACCAAATGTGCCCTTACAAGATCGGGTAGCTTCCCATAGCCCTACGTCTTCGTACCCACGATGAGTTGTGGATACTTGACCCGCGCTGGGTTCCATGGTTTGTTTAATTCATAGCTTTTACATTACAGCCTTACTTGTTCAAATTTTTATTATTTAATCACTAAATATGTTCCTATCATAGTCTACGTGTTGCTGGTCTGCTTCCGTTTGCACGCCTGGTTGAGTGACACAGGCATAGGAGTGCATGTTTTTGGTGGACCGTGCACTCCTCTCTGCTTGGGTGGACCGCTGGAGACTAGAGACGCACATGTTCCACCTCCCTGTAGGTGAGGTGACTGTCACTCTGCAGGACGTCGCCATGCTCTTCGGTCTACCTCTCGACGGTGCTCCTGTCGGTCCTGTTGTCGTGCCGATGGACTGGGAGGAGCAGCTCATGTACTGTTTTGAGGGTGTCTTGTAGCCGGCGAACGGAGAGGTTGAGCAGTTCGGCTTCCACGACCGCCACGGGCCTTCAAAGGCATGGTTGTCTCAATTCTGTGCGGAGAGGCTCACAAAGGACGAGGATGAGTAGAGGGTGATGCGACACATGGAGGCATACCTACTTTGGCTGTTGGCTGGGTACTCTTCACTAGTTCTCACCACAACATCGTCGATAGGCACTTCATCCACTACGCGGCGCAGATAGCGTACGCACCACTTGAGGCGATTCCCCAATACAGTTGGGGTTCTGCGGTGCCTGCAGCTATGTATCGGGCTCTGTATGACACTTGCACTCGGAGGACTTCGACAGGTATGTTGGCTGGTTCGCCTTTGTTGCTGATGTTGTGGTCGTTCGAGCGGTTCGATATTGGGAGGCCGACCTTGTCGTCGTACGATCCGTATGACGATGAGATGTACATTTTCGACCAGCTTGGTGAGGTCGACAAGCTCGACGCCCCCACGATGGGCACACTCTAGTTGTCCCGTGACGTCATCTCTACTATTTTTTCTTACATGCTAGTATTATGCGTTGAACATTCATCAAATTTGTTGTTCTTTGCAGCCGAGGTGGACAACAGGCATGGGTAGAGGCACGTACAATGCGTACGTTGTTGCGTTAGACCAGCTCACAGCTGATAGGGTTCGGTGGACCTCATACACAGCAGTTGACATGCAGTCCCGTGCTCCACGTGGCTTGTTGGAGTTGTGCTACCGTGACCAGGAGCTGTGGTACACGAGGAAAAGACTGGTGTTCGACATCTTCGTCGAGCCATACTGTCCACAATGGGTGGCACGTCAGTTTGGGCGTGCGCAGGTCTTCCCCTTCCCCGACTTCAACTTGACGGGTCCCACGGGTAAGTCTTGTTGCATTAAACGTTCATCTATATGTTGTCATAGTATTATTCATTATTAATTGTATTTCAGGCATTCAAGGAAAGGTCAAGGTGTAGCATTCGAGCAGTCGTGGGTGTATAGAATGGTGCCTTGGGTCAACGACTGGGCACAAGCTGCCACCGACGTGCACGACCTTGGTGGGCCATTCGATGAGGCCACGTACCAAGAGTACTTGTGTTGGTTCCATGGAGCCATACGCGTCGGTTGCTTTCCCGTGCCGGTAGAGGCCGCGCCACATGAGGCCGAGATCACCGACACGTTCGCGATGGAGCCACCAGCTGCTTTCCATGCGCTGGTAAGCAAATTTCTTACATAAGTTGTCCTATCCTTACTATGCAAATGAAACATAACAATACATGAGACAATACATGCCTTGCTTGCAGACAAATATCTACAGTGATGTGGGCAATGAGCTGCTTTCGTATGCCCAGCAGTTCGAGCACAACCCCCCAACGGTTGGAAGGCTGGAGTTGGTTGCCACCCTTCGACGACTAGGGCAACGTTGCTTGGCGGGAGTACGCCGGGCATCATGCCGCCACACCACTGACGTAGTTGTTCACGCCACCAGGCTGTGCCTCCACCACCACCTCCAGTCGACGGATCAGGAGGACGTTCTCGTCCATCCCAGCACGAGCCGCAACAGAGGGTTCAAGTCCTAGGTAATTCAAAGATTACCTTCCTGATTTCTCATGTACTATGTATGTAACATGCTCTATCTAACCTAGCTTTTTTGTATAGGTACACGTGCTTCTTGCAGTGACTACACGGAGGGTACTAGCAGCTTTGGGACCTTTCACACGGACGACATGCCTCCTTGGTTCCCCGAGGAGGTAGGGCGTTCACAGCTTTTCAGGTGCACCGCTACCGACTCACGGTACTAAGCATATGGAGTAAGCCCCCACCGGCATGACAGCGATGCCCTCCAGACCAGTGGACTTACCCTATGGCCCAAGTTCGTCACTGAGGTGCGCAGGCACCTAAGCGTGGTCGTCGTGTAGTTTAAGCGTGTAGGACTATATGGTTGTATGTTAGCATGGATGCATGCATGCATGCGAACTAATGTGCTCTTGGATTTGTGATACGAACTAATGAACTAATGTGCGCACTTTTGCAATGGAGATAACGCTCCAATACAGTCCCTCGCCTGCATCGAGGCAAAGGACAATTATAACGTAAACGGATATTGTTTAACCTTTGCAGCGAGTATTCTATCCTTTTTTTAGCGTAACAAGGGCGTTTGTGATGCGAACTAATCTAATGTTTTTAGTGTTGCTCAAAAATTGGCAAAGTTAGTTTTCTGTCCGAAGATGGTTGTGACGTGAAAAAGTATCACATCGGGTGGTGGTTGTGTCTAGAAAAGAAGGAATACAGTATGAAATAGAGTTATCGGCCACGTGGGGCCCAAAAGACCTATCGACGAGTGGGTGGCTGACTTCCCTGGGCCGACTGGTCCTGTCGGCCATGAAGCTACCGATAGGTCCTTGTCGGTGCCAACAGGCTACTTTGGCATTTGTCGGCTGCCACGTGTGCACCACGTGTGCGCCACGCCACGTACGCCTATCGGATTATGAGAAGCCGGCAACCGTTGTGCGTTCGACAGGCTGCTGTAGTCAAATTTTTGTATAACAACTTCTACATTTGCAATTAATCATTAAAAATATTGTTTAAAAAATTTCGTCTTTTGCCCAGTTTAACAGTGCAGTGCTCCTTCCACTCACGGAGACTCAATCTGTTGAATGCCATAGCAGCGAATTCGTCACGAAGAGGTATATATAAATTTTTCGGTCATGAAAATTCGTTTGGAGTGAAACAATGCCAAGCAAATTCGGCTTGCCAATGTGTCGCTAAATAATCCCCAATCATAACTCTACCTTGTACGACGACAAATTGGATAACACCAACCTTTAGCACTCTTCTAAACAGAAGCATTTTCGCATGAGTTCCGTGTAAATTGCTGAACATATGATAGGAAATTAGGAATGGGAATTTCGCAACCTGAAAATATCACGTTGACTGCTTGACCTGGCTGATTGGACGAAATTTCTGGGGAGCCAACCTTTAGGGTGCGTTTAGCAAAAATTTTGGATCAGTATGATTGGGTTCAAAAGTTTTGTCTCGTGATTTCTCGACCAACTGTGTAATTAGTTTTTTTTCGCTACATTTAAGGCTCCACGACGTGCCGCAAGAGATCGATGTGCCGAGTCAACCCGGTCAATCAGTATGAATCCTCAATAGTCTGCCGAGTCAACCCGGTCAACGCTACTCCCGGTCTCGTCTTCCTGCCCTACCCTTTCCGTTTCCCAGTCCCCAAACGCCGGCCAAACCGCATCCGCGAACCGACGATTCCACAACACAAGCGAAACGGAGGCGGAGCAGAGCAGATCAGTCATGGCGGCGCCGCCGTCGCACCCGTTCGTCTACATCGACGCGGCGGCTCTCCACTCGCTGCTCCCCTTCACGTCCCTGATCCCGCACCTCCGCGCGGGGCTCGCCCACCCGGACCTCTCCGCCTGCATCCAGTGCCCGCAGCGCGTCTCTTTCCCGCTCCCCACGGCGGCGCCGTCCGCGGCGCTCCTCCTGATGCCCTCCTGGTGCGCGCACCCATCCCTCCCCTACCTCGCGCTCAAGGCCGTCACCTCCTTCCCGTCCAACGCGCCGCGCCTCCCGTCCGTCCACGCCGCCGTCTCCCTCTTCAGCGCCGCCACGGGCGCCCCGCTCGCCTCCATCGACGGCACCGCGCTCACGCTGCGCCGCACGGCCGCCGTCTCCGCGCTCGCCGCCTCCCTCCTCCTCTCCTCCCGGTCCCGCCCGCCCTCGGTGCTCGCGCTCGCGGGCGCCGGCGCGCTCGCGCCCTACCTCGCGGAGGCGCACCTCGCGGCGGTCCCTTCCATCTCCCGCGTCCTCGTCTGGAACCGCACCAGGGCCAAGTCCGCGGCGCTCGTCGCCAGGCTCCGCGAGTCGCACCCGGGCCTCGCCGTCGAGGAGGTGGACGGCGACGGCATGGACGAGGCCGTCTCCGCGGCGGACGTCGTGAGCTGCGCCACGGGGTCGCGGGAGCCCATCGTGCGCGGGGCGCTGCTGCGCCCCGGCGCGCACCTGGACCTGGTGGGGTCCTTCACGCCCGCGATGCGGGAGTGCGACGACGACGCGCTGCGCCGCGGGAGGGTGTTCATCGACTTCGAGGCGGCCATGGAGGAGGCCGGGGAACTGGTGGGCGCCGTCCAGCGAGGCGTGCTGAGGAGGGAGGACGTGGCCGGGACGCTCTCGGAGCTGGCCGCCGGGACGGTGGTGGGGCGACGGAGCGACGACGAGATCACCGTGTTCAAGTCCGTGGGCACCGCCGTGGTGGATCTCTTGGCGGCGCAGCTGGCCTACGAGACGCACGTCGCCGCAACCAAGGATGCTTGAGCGAGCAGCTTGTAGTTGTAGATGATGCGTTTTCTTCTCCATCCAACGAGTCAGAACTCAGAACACAAATAAATGGATCAGCTCAATCCTTATGCATTAACAAAAGTGGGTGATAGATTCACTTGTTAATGGATTCCAATGAGAATGTATGTACTTCCCGCATCTATATGTCTGTTTGTGCTTACTCATGTTTGTTGGCAAAGTGAATCTTTTAAAATGGAGCTCCATGGTTCGAACATTCGCTTCGATGCCAGACCAGACCTATCATGATTTTTAGAACCTGTTTGGAATAAAGGATTCTGGGTTCTCTCCCGTGGACGTCATTCATATCTTCTTCTGTGTTCTCTCTCCCTGGCCGCTCCCTCTATGTCCCTTCCTCATACTCTCTGTCCTCGGCGCATGAGTTCATGGAGAGGCCGCAAGCTCCATCCACGATAGGGGCACGTCTTCGCAGCTAGGAAAACTCCTTTTCTTCTCCCTATTCCGTTTATTGCCTTGCTTCTTCCACGAATCGATGTGGGTTTTTTTTTCCGTTGGCAGTGGTTGCGATTTGCATTGTGAATCGATCAGTTCAAGCCTCAGGAGGAAGGAGAGAAGAACATGCAAGTGCGGGTAGCCGTGATGACTGAGAGAGCGAGCGAGAAATTTGTTTTCCTTTGCGTGTGGTATTATTGGACACTCAGAAATTGATTGTCCTAAGCCAGCTCCTAGAGATGAAAAAGGTTGTTTGCCATATAGTGAAAAATTGCGTGCTCCTGAGGAGAAAAGATTAAAGAATCAAAGTGAATGGTTTGCCCAGGGTGGTAGCCCCTGTAGGAAAAGCTACTCCTCTGATGCTTGGGGAAGTTCAGATTCCAGAAAATCTTCTAAAAAAAGTGACGATAAAGACAAAGATTCTAGAAAAGATGTTGGAGATGGTAGTGTCGACGCATCCTCACCAATAAGGAACCATGTGCTTAATGATGCTAACATGACTGCAAATGATATGTTTCTGCATGATTATTCAGTATATGGTAAACAGATTCCTGCCCACACAAAAAAACGTAAATCTGATGAAAACCTGATGAAGAATGTAGCAGAAGTGGATGGAGATGCTATGGAAGTGTTTGATGGGAAGTCGTTGGCTCTAGTTCCGACAGTAAAAGGGAGTTTTGTTTCTCAAGATAGAAGTGAAAGTGGGGCTTGTGAGAGTTCTAAGAAGTTTAAAAATGAAAACATGGGGCTGCTCGAGCAGCCTCGCGTGCAAAAATGAGGCTAATCACATGGAATTGCCGGGGATTGGGGAACGGCCCGGCAATTCGAGGACTTCTGGATATCCAGAAGCGGGAGGCCCCTGATATTCTTTTCCTATCAGAAACTAAACATGATGGTAAATGGTTAAGGTGGAAGCTAGAAATGCCGAATTTTGTGACAGTTGACAGTGTGAGAACTAGCGGGGGTTTGGCTCTTTTTTGGAGAAGAGGGATTGAAGTGGAGGTGAAAAGTTTCTCAAAATATCACATTGACAGTATGATAGAAGAGCACGATGGGCTTGAATGGAGATTCACTGGTATTTATGGCAAGTCAAAAAATGAAGAAAAGGATAATACTTGGGAGACCTTACGATTCTTGAAGGAACAGTTTGAGATGCCCTGGCTCTGTAGTGGAGACTTCAATGAAATTTTATTTAATTTTGAAAAGGAGGGAGGACATCCGAGAGCAGAATCAAATATGCATAAATTCAGATTAGCTTTGGAAGATTGTGATCTGCAGGATCTGGGATTTTTTGGGGATCCATTCACTTGGCGTAATAACCATCATGTGGCTGCCAGCTTTACAAAAGAAAGGCTTGACCGTGCTGTTGCTAATAGCAGTTGGAGATATACGTTCCCTATGGTGAGGGTTACTAATGGGGATCCTAGGCACTCTGATCATAGGCTGATTATAATAGATGTGGGCTGTAGACAGAGCATGGACTGCTTGCAAGTGATGCCAAAATTCGAAGCGAAATGGATTGAGGAGGAGGAATGCGAGTTCCGGGTGATGGAAGTTTGGGGTAGAGCGATGGAGGAAGGATGCAACAGTATGATGCAAATGCAGATGAAGGTGCTGGGAGATCTGTGGGAATGGGACAGGAACATTTTTGGAGAGTTGGAAAAAACGAATCAAAAAAGTTAAAAGTGAATTGGAAAGGTGTAGGAGGATGAGTATATCTCAAGAATCAGTAAACCGGGAACACTTATTGCGTTATAAGCTCGAACGACTGTAAGACCAACATAATACTTACTGGAAACAACGAGCTCATAACACTTAGTTGACAAAGGGAGACTGGAATACTGGTTTTTTTCATGCTTTTGCTTCAAAATGGAGAAGGAAAAACTGGATTAGGAGTTTGAAAGATGAGAATGGAGTTCTGGTGGTGGGAGACCAACTAAAACACTTTATTGCTAACCAGTATCAACAGTTATTTATGTCATGTGCAGGGTCACATTCGGAATATGTGCTGAATTGTGTCGAACCCAGAGTCACAAGAGAAATGAATGAGGCATTAATGGAACCATTCACAGGGGAAGAAATCTGGAAAGCTTTGGAAAGCATAGGTGACTTGAAGGCTCCTGGTGCTGATGGTATGCCCTCTATCTTTTACAAAAAGTTCCGGTCTTTTATTGGGGATCAAGTTAAAAAAGAAGTTCTTCAAGTCCTTAATGGAAGGCCAATGCCAGTTGACTGGAATGAAACTATTATTGTGTTGTTACCCAAAATTATCTCGCCCCAAGTGTTAAAAGATTTTCGGCCAATTAGTCTATGTAACGTGCTTTATAAGCTCATTTCAAAAGTTCTTGCGAATAGATTGAAGAAAAATCTTGCCAGATATCATTTCTCCTTCTCAGAGTGCCTTTGTTCCGGGAAGACTAATCATGGACAATGTCCTTTTATCTTATGAATTAATACATTATTTAAATTATAAAAGAAAAGGTAAGGAGGGGCTGGCTGCAATCAGATTATACATAAGCAAAGCATATGATAGGGTGGAATGGGTTTTCTTACAAAATATCTTGATTCGGATGGGTTTTGATAGAAGATGGGTGCGACTTATCATGAATTGTGTTACCTCGGTTACTTACAAAATCAAAGTTAATGGAGGGTATACTCATCAAATTCTCCCCCAAAGGGGCTTAAGACAGGGTGATCCTCTTTCACCTTATTTATTTATTCTATGTGCAGAAGGTTTATCAGCTATGCTGCAAAAAGCTGAACAAGAGGGGAAGATTGAAGGCATTAAGATTTGCCGAGGTGCGCCAAGAGTAAACCACCTGTTTTTTTGCCGATGATTCCTTGATTTTGATGAGAGCAAGGGCAGTTGATGCAGAAGAACTTAAACATATTCTGCGTGTGTATGAAGATGCATCTGGGCAGGTAATCAACAGAGATAAATCATCAATTTTTTCAGCCCAAACACAAATGAACAAATTAGGAGACAGATTAGATCAAATCTCTCCATTGAGTGCGAAACAAGGATCGAACGTTATTTAGGTCTACCTGTCTCGGTTGGGAAATCGAAGAAGTTAATGTTTGAGTACATAAAAAAGAAGGTCTGGAGTAGAATTCAGGGTTGGCAGGAAAAACTCCTTTCTAAGGCTGGCAAGGAAATTCTTATTAAGGCCGTAGTACAATCCATTCCTACTTATGCTATGTCATGTTAATCTTACAAAAGGCCTCTGTGATGAACTAAGTACGATTAATGCGAGATACTGGTGGAGCCAACAAGACAAAATAAATAAAATTCATTGGCTCAGTTGGGAAAAGCTAACCAGATAAAAAAAGGTGGTTTAGGTTTTCGGGATTTGCATCTATTTAATTTAGCAATGTTGAGTAGTCAAGCATGGAGATTACTTATCAGCCCTGATACACTTTGTCCACAGGTGTTGAAAGCAAGATATTTTCCAAGGTCGGACATTCTCCATTGCGTTCCTCTGCCTGGTATGTCTTATACTTGGAGAAGCATTTTAAGAGGGGCTGAAATTTTAAAGGAAGGGCTCATATGGAGAATTGGGAATGGGGAAAATATAAAAATATGCGAAGACCCATGGATACCTAGAGAACAAGGAAGCCAGTTACACCTAGGAGGTCATGCTTACTTACTAGAGTTAGTGAGCTTATAGATCCAACAACAGGTGCATGGGATGAACAATTAATCTCTGATATTTTTTGGCCTGAGGATGCTGCTGAGATCTTACGAATTCCGATTAATGTGCATATGGAGGACTGGCCTGCTTGGCATTTTAATGCAAAGGGAGTGTTTTCAGTCAAATCAGCCTATAAACTTGCTGTGCAAAAAAGAGATGCTCTTACAGGAAGGGATGCTTCTAGTTCTGGTTGTGCAGGTGGATGTGGGAGTGAATTCCAGTGGTTTAAGATTTGGCAAATCAAATCTCCCAACAAAGTTAAAATGTTCATATGGCGTTTTGCACATAACAGTCTTCCTGTTAGAAGAAATTTGACCAGGCGTGGGATGAAATTAGATACCATTTGTCCAGTTTACAGAAGGCTAGATGAAGATTGTGGGCACATGTTCTTTCAAATGCAAGCATGTAAAGATGTTGGCGTCTTTTGAACATGGAGGATATAAGATCTGAGCTGGTGAGCTGCCGATCAGGAACAGAAGTAATTAATAAGATTTGGGAACTAGAGAAGAACATTCAAATAAATTTTTTTGTCTTTCTTTGGAGATGGTGGTCAGCAAGGAACAAGGTAAATAATGGTGGAAGAATGGCGAGTGCAACTGAGGTTTGTGGTTCTGTATCATTCTACCTGATGGAATTTGAAAAGTTACACAATCTTGAAAAGAAAGTGATGCCTGCTGCTGCTGGAAGTTCATGGAATCCTCCACCAGATGATATATATAAGATCAATTCTGATGGTTCTTTTGGTCCAAATAAGAGAATTGGAGGCTTTGGAGTCTGGAGAGGTTCTCGTGGCTGGGGCTGGGAACATATCTTACGCTTCATCGGCCTTGCATA